GAGGAAGCGTGTGTTCTCTCCATCTGCAAAAGAACAAAGTAGAAATTCAATTAGCATTGAGAAATAAAACCGCACGACAAAAAAGAACAAATGTAAAGTTTTCCTAACTGTGTAACCTTTGGGGGATAAATACAGACGTCTCTGTACCGATCCCTCAGACTCTACTAAGCTTGTCAGTGAATTGTGAGACCTATGTAACCTAGAGTTCTGATACCAACTTGTCACGACCCAGATTTCCCACACTCGAGAGTTGTGATGGCGCCTACTCGTAGAAGCTAGGCAAGCCACGAAATATAGAAATTCTAAGTCTTTCATTTTAATCCTTTTATCAACTTGAATTAACAAGTAATCAACAATTTAAAGATTAACAATAACAGAATAAGCGGAAGACTTAAACAACTACAAATGATCAAAATCAGTACTATAATGCCAATATACTCCTCTACCCGGAATCTGGTGTCACAATATTCACGGACTGCCTATGAGCACTACATATAAATGTCTGAAAAAGGAAATACAGTCTATCTCGGAAACAAGTGAGGACAGAACGTATAATTGGATAGAAGAGAACGCCGAACCTACGGACGCCTGCAGGACTACCTCGGGATCTCTAGATGGACTGAAGGCTGGCTCCCCAAGTGCTACTGTCCCAATGCTGCTCCGGTATCTGCACAGAGTGCAGAGTGTAGCATCAGCACAACCGACCCCATATGCTGGTAAGTGCTTGGCCTAACCCCGACGAGGTAGTGACGAGGCTAGGACTAGACTCCAGATAAACCTGTGCAGTTCAAATATATACAGCGGGAAAGAAAATACAGAAATAAACAAGTAGAGATGGGAGGGGGAAACATGCATTGGGGAATAGCAGGTAAAACAGAATATCAAGAGGACTATAAAAGAATCAAAATCCAACCACTAACAAGAATAAGGAATGCAAAGGCAGATTTCACTTTATTTTCACATCTTATTACATGTGTGCAAACCCGATCCCATTTCCTGTAACTCGTGACAGGCAGCTCCCCTTTCATGTATCTTGTGGTAGGCGTACCACCCGCTCCCATTTCATTATATCTTGTGGTAGGCGTACCACCCGCTCCCATTTCATTATATCTTGTGGTAGGCATACCACCCGCTCCCATTTACAAGCCAACAATAATAGCAAGGAATCCCGACAAGANCCGCAAGGAATCCCGACAAGGGAACAATAATATCAAACAAATATCCTGGCAAGGGAACAATTATATCTCAACACTATCCCGACAAGGGAACAATAATATCTCAACAATATTCCGGCAGGGGAACAATAATATCTCACAAACATCCCGGCAAGGGAACAATGATGATAATAACATGTGAGGCACAATAAACCACGACGGAGTCATAACAATTTATAATACAAAACCCACGTGCATGCTTGACACCGACGTATAGATACTCGTCACCATGCCTATACATCGTACTACACAATTAACACGTAGCAAATAGACACAACTCCTAATCCCTCAAGCTAAGATTAGACTAAACACTTATCTCGAACTTTCACGGCCAACTCAAGCCTCAAACACCACTTTTCCTTTCGAATTCGGCTCCAAATCAATTGTATCTAGACATAATCGACTTTATAACATCAATAAACAATTAAGAATCCAATTCCAAATGCTTAATTATAGCTTTTTAATCATTCTTCCCAAAAAGTCAAAAATTAACCTCGGGCCCGCTTGGTCAAAACATGAGGTTCAGACCAAAACCCGATCACTCATTCACCCACGAGCCCGAATATATAATTAGTTCTAAAATTCGACCCCAAAACGAGGTCCAAATCACAAATAATCAAAAAGCCCTAACTCTACCCAAATCCCTAATTTTCTATCCTTAAGAACATGATTTAAGCCTAGAAATCTAATGGGTGTTAATGAAAATTGAAGAAAATGAGTCTAAGATTATATACCTATGAATTGGTGGTGGAATCCTCTTTCAAAAATCGCCCAATTTGGAGTTTAGATGAAGAAGTTATGAGTTTTGGAAGAAATCCCGTAATGGCTACTGTTTCTGGACTTTTAAAATAACTGGGCGAAATTGGTCATCGCGTTCGCGATGAGTTAGGTCTGACAGACCTTCGTGTTCGCGGAAGACGGCTTGCGTTCGCGGAGCTTTGGCTCCTCAAACCTACGCGTTCGCGGTGCACAAAATGGTGACCCCTCCCCAGGCCTTTAACCTTACGCGTTCGCGAGTGCATGGATGCGTTCGCGAAGGGTATTCCCCCCTCAGCCTTATGTTCGCGTCTCAAACTTCACGTTCGCGAAGAAGAAATCTGGCACCTGGGAGATTTGCCTTATGCGCTCGCAAGAGGGACCACGCGAACGTGAAGAGTAACATCCCTGGGCACTGAACAGTAAAAACTTGCAACTTTTGAGTTCCAAAAACCTTCCGAAACACACCCGAGCCCTCGGGGATCAAAACCAAACATATGTACTAACTCAATAACATCGTACGAACTTATCCGTGCCGTCAAATCGCCAAAATAACCTCAATAACAACGAGTTAAACCTCAAAATCGATGAAATATTTCAAAACTTCTTAAAGCATCAAACTTTGTATTTACGGTCCGAATCATGTCAAACGGATTCCGTTTCATACAAAACTTAACAGAGCTATCTTAAATCACATATAAGACCTATAGCGGGCACCAAAAGCAAAATACAGGCCCGATACCAACATGTTCTAATCAAAATTAATTTCAAATTCCTTTAAACAATTTCAGAAAATAATTTCCTTTAAAAAATTCATTTCTCGGGCTTGGGACCTCGGAATTCGATTCCGGGCATACGCTCAAGTCCCATATTTTCCTAGTCCGGATCCTTTTACCCAAAACGTTGACCGAAGTCAAATTAACTTATTTTATAGTCAAAATTTATCATTTTCCATAAATTTTCACATATAAGCTATCCGGCTACGCGCCCGGACTGCACACACAAATCGAGGTGATGCTAAAAGAGGTTTTGAAGGCCTCGGAGCACAGAATTCAATTTAGAGGGTCATCACACAGACCATGATAGGGCACTTTTGGATAGTCCAACACCACATAAAATTGCATACTCAGATGGTTCAAAGACGAATGCACAAGGGCTAGAATTATCAGGTAAGAACAATATTTCAAATGCATAATTTCAAGCTTCCACAGTTAAACCTATTGGCAAAGTGAATGAAGGGGTTGCTACTAGGTATTTGACGTCAAGGTATTTGAATTAGCTGTGCAAGCAACTCGTTTAGATGCTACTGTAGTTATTGCATCAGGTGTTGGGCAAATTCCTAATTCCAGTAATGTACTAATACAAGTAATGTACTAACAAGATTTTCTAATTCCAGCTATTCCAATTGATAACTGTAGTAATTATTTCCATGAGGCACTCTAGTTAAAACTAGCAGAACCAGAACACACGTTATGTAAGCCAATTTACTGTCATGTCATCACATATTGAAAAAATCAAAGTACTGCAAAGAGCTTCAAAACAATTGTCTCGGGAGTTTCCTACAAAAATCTTGTCTAATTTGTTGAAACCAAACATGTACATCAAATTATAACCAAAACAAATTCGCAAAATAATGCTCTATAGTTCAAATAGGAAGAAATTAAGTAGTAAGTCAAGTTGGCAAGAAAGATACGTGAAAAACGATTAAGTCGACCGGATGGTATAGTTGGGAAAATGGTAGTTTCTCACAACCTTTGCGACATCAACAATAATGAGGGAAATATAAAAGCAAGAAGCATCCAAGGTAAGCCTAAATACAACAACAAATTAATAAAAATCGAAGGAAGAAAACTCAAATAATAGCGACGAAAGGACAAAGATGAGTAGTACCATGAGGAGGTTGAGCATTTTCAGCAACACTAGGCATCTTTGATGTTTGTGGCACTCGTTCATGTCCACTATTGGCATTAATGATCTAACAAATATTAACATGTTAGATAAAAATACTTTTATATAATTAGAATTTCATTAAAAATGTCTAAAGCTTATTAAATGGAGTTACTTGTTCACCTGAGGTGTCATTGCTACTTTGAGGCATAGATGCATCAGGAGCATATTTGCGCCTGAGTTATCTCATTTGGAGTAATTCTGATTGCATCACTCCTGATTTTGTTTCATCATATTTATTTCTTCATTTTGTTTCTCCTTTAACTCGATTATCTTCTGTTCTAACCTTTGTATAACCTCATTAGAAGAATCATCTGCAATGATATTTTTCTGGACTAGAAATCTGGAAAGAGAACATATGCAGAGACCTCCACATTAGCAACCCAAGTATTTTGGTATAACCTTGTATCTTAAGATTCTTGATTTATTTCTTCAAGTTCTCTTTATGTGTTCTCTTTACCGTTAAAAGAATAAGACAATACAAATTGCTATCAAAGAGACTACTCAATCCCTTGCATCGAAATTAGAAGAAAACATCAGCACTCAGCACATGAAATATTAAGAGAAATAACTAAAATCTCAACCACCCTCCCCCAAAAATAATCTACAATTATGTAGAAAAGATACTAAGAAGACAATCGTATATGAAACTTTTAAAAGAACATAGATACTTTTGAGATTGAGTGGAAGATTTCTTATGTGAACTTTTAAGTACTTAACTCTTTACTAATGAAAAATACAATATTTTATGTGCAAACATGTTGAAAGACACATGCATGCAACCTAATGCAGTATAAATTTATGAATGGTTAAAGGGACAAATATGTACATGTGCATATTTATTTGCTGGCATAATAAGGACTACTTTCACGAAGCAGTTAACACCATAGTGCTTGCTCTTAACTGGTGACTCTAATGGCTGATACTAACATATTTGACCAATATTGATAGGCTCAAAGTAAATCCAAAATACTAATGACTGCACAATATTTGTTTATGCCCACCAGAAAATAAAGATTTATCTACAAACGGCAAATAACCTTTCCTTCCATATATTTCTCAATCATGTCTATGGATAGATGCTAAACAAAACCATGATCAGCCTGATTCTACCATCTTAAGAAAATTCAAGTCAAAAAAAGATCCAATTGACAACCATTTCACTTGATTAAGACTAGATACACAGACTCATTCATTATCCACCATTCCAATATTGAGACGCGGCGAAAAATAGTTTCAGGGGCCTTTATTTGATATATCGACACTATGAAGCAAACAATCCTATCTTTCTATTAGTGAAGACAATTCATTAGATGAAGCAGGAAGAAGAGAGCAATAAGTGTCATGTTGCTAGGCGAAGCAGCCCGGATGTTGCATCCTAAATGGCAAAAATCCAGTAGCCGAAAGCATCGCCAGCTTACTCTCTGACCCCAGTAACATGGGCCACGGAGCTACTTCAACAATTCTCATGTTTATAGATTGAAAGGAAAAGGATCCCAGGAAATGTATTTGAACCTAATTCTTTCGAAATTTTCTATTCCAATCAACGACTTCTAACAAGATGATATTGGTAACCAAAAGATCTCGAAATCAAACATGACGAACTCCCACTTCAAAATTTCCATTTGGAAGAGGCATACAGCGCAATGCATCATCAATATCCCTGCATCCTGCGTCGCGAAAAAGCAAAATTCTGTCTTAGATTGATATCACATGTAGAAAGTACCTCTCATCTATACTGACATAAACTAAATGCGGGCACTACAGTTAAATGGAAGATGCAAACCACAGTTAAATTTGGAAACATACCAGGAGGATCCACACTACATATATGTAGATGACGCAAATCCTGTCTAATAGGATTTGTCAAATCTTGAGGAGATACAAACCAAGGTAACGGCGGCAAGCATGCCAACACTTGAGCAGAAAATGGTCTAGCATCTATATCATTCTCTATTAATACCACCTAAAGTGATTACAGAACAAATTTAGGCATGACTATTATTTATCAACATCAACAAATAAATAAAATTCTAATAATTTAAGCATGTAAAATAATATAAAGGTAGCTACAAGCAAAGGACAAGAACGCCCTTAGCAATTGAAGGTTTTCAACAAAAAGCCACAATAGAGAAACAACAAACAGTCTCAAAAGTACATGACAGAAAAGGTAGAGAAGGATAATCAGTTTAATTTTAAAGAGAACGAATGACATTTTACCACATACCTCTATTTCAGTATCCCTATCACCTATTTCTCCAACTGTCCTGACATAGTGACCGGGTTGATATTGGGACAAACGATCCCATGAATCAACCGCAATGATAATCCACTTATCCAGCAAATTTCCCAATTGACGAGTTTGTATCCGTATCTTAGGGATTTTTCGGTTCTTGGATACAAATAAGGCATGGGCAAGACCAATATTACCTCCTGGAATTGGCATTGGCTCTAAGGATCCACAGTAACTGTAAGGACAAAATCAATCATATACCAGATAAATGAAGACTTTGTTAATAGTGGGAACTAGATAAAGCAATTTTAAGAAGTACGAGTTCGGTGATAGTGGATAGAATCCATAGACCATAGAATTGCAGGATTAGTTGAAGGGGCAGAATTTTCCAATCCCGTGCTACTTTGCAAACGGTTAGGTAAACCGAGCCTTGGGCACCACTCAATCTTAAAGATACCACAAGAGGTAAGAAATAGTCACTAGAGAGATGAGTGACGCCTGAAAAGGCACCAGAGAAAGAAGCGGCATCTGAACTATCCTGAGAGAAGGAGCAATGCCTTGAACGGTCGTGGGGAGAGCAGCGCACCAGATTGTGTAAGCCGTCTGCTAGTAGCATAAGTTATGTAAATTGCCACCAAAACTGAAGATGCTCCGATACGATGTATGTGAAATGGATCTTGGACCTAACTCAATCTCAAAAGTTAGCTCAAGAGCTAAATCCAAGACCATAAAAGATTACTTAAACCAAACATGACAAGAAAGAGACAAAGTAAATAAACTTGAAAATTTCATCAAATTATGCAAAGCCTAAAAGGGTATGAACTTTTTAACTATACGACAATGATTGCAGTGACATACATGGGGCTGAATCGATATGTAATATTTTTCTATTTATAAGCAAATCATAGTCATCATAGAACAAACATGTAAATATGAAAAAGACATCTAGCTAAAGACAACTTGTCGATTTTCACCAAATTGGTTCATAAACTTTTTAAGAAAAGAATTATTAAACTTATAAATTATACAACTTTTTAAGACTGGAAATCTAATTATTACTACCAACAAACTAGTGGGTACTGACTGTCGAAGGATTCTGACTATTGCTAACAGCCCAAGCTATTTCTTAACAAACGACTGAACTACTGTGGTTGAGATGTCCTATTGGAGATTGAGCTTTTATATGGTGAAAAGTAGCCATAGGAAATATACAGAGGAACCAATTTATAAAACAACATCAGAACATAAGAGGAATCAATTCAATCAATCGATTATCAATCTAACAACAAACAAATATCACTAACGACTTAGCAAACACACAAAAAAGCAATACTTTCACAAATTCACAACCTATTTAATAATCTACACCCAAACCTGACCTCTTAAAATCAAATTTTCCTAAGCAAATATAAGTTCCTAAGATGCAATGTCTATCATATCATTGTATGAATTAGAATAAGCAATCATTTCTTACCATGATAGAAAAGAAACAAAAATACGATAGCTTGTGTACCTTACTTTAGTTACTAGCTTAATGAAATTCTCTCTTAAGGATGGAATTCTGTACTACTACTCTAACTAAAACCTTAAATGTTTTGATAAGTATAGGTTCATAATCATTTAAAAATTATTGCAAGAATGCTATTTCTTTTAACTCAATAGTACACTAATTTATAGATTATTCATAACTGTTGCTCTAGCAAACCTCACACCCATGACATGGACCTTTAACATGGAAAAGAATAAGTCTTGACAATAGATAGATTTTGCAATCAGAAAGATATCTCAGCGGTACTCTATATATTTATATTCTTTATCTAAGAACTTAACAAAGTTCAATCTAATATATGAATAGCCGAGGGCCTGTTTTACACCATTTGAAGGTCATTCTTAAAGTAACAAAGGGCGTCCATGCTTATTAAAAGATCTGAAAATCTATGTCCATGCTACATATATCGTTTCATTCAGAACACGAATCCCATGTACAAGAACATTAACCTCGGCAACTATTTGAGTTTCTTTCCCAAAAATTGGTTTATAACATAAGAGAAATTTAGATATAAGAGATAAGCGGCCGAAACAAACTTCCTAAATCAGGATTTTCTACATCCAAATAATAACATGACTTTTACCAGATTAATATACACAGAATCTATTGTAAATCAATCGACAAGAATCAATCCAAAATTTACTGTAAATCGATTGCAAGCGACTGATTTAACCGGGGAAAAAGAGAAGTTAACAAGGGAAGAAGATGGACGGGCACTACGGCAGGCTGTTGATGCAACAACGAGTTGGGAACTGATTTACTGTAAATCAATCGACCAACATCAATACAAAATCTACTGTAAATCGATTGGAAGAAGAGAAGTTAATTTATTGTAAATCGATTCTACTGTAAATCGATTGTAAATCGAAGAGAACAGAAGAGAATTTACCTGGAAAAAGATAGGCTGCCATTGACACACTCGTACTGTCGTTGACACATTGTAAATCACATTACCGTTGAAGCAGTAGCGAGTTAGGTTTTTTCGGCAGTGAAGTCGATTCAAGATAGAAATCGATTCTACTATAAATCGATTCTACTGTAAATCGAAGAGAAGAGAATTTACCTGGGAAAAAGATGGGCTGCCGTTGACGCACTCGCACTGCCGTTGACACACCGTTGACGCAACAACGAGTTAGGATTTTTCAGCAGTGATTTAGGATTCGATGTTTTATTGTTTTTCGTTCAACTGGGGAGTGAGTTAGTTTTTTCGTCCTACTGTTTTCTAATTGGGGAGGAAAACGATAAAATGTATCAAAAAATTAGAGGGAAATATTTTCTCTTTTTGGTGGGGAGGGATAGTTAAAATAATAAAAGATTAATTTAAATTAGCAATTTTTTAGTGGCAATTATTTTTTATTGCCGGTAAAAGGATATCTTTTACTGGCTAATGGTCATATGCCGCTAATATTTAAACTTAAAGAATTTATTAGCGATCATTGCCTTATTGCCGCTAAATAATTGCTGCCAAAGGCCTTTTTTGTAGTATTGTAATTGCTTTCAGATGAGCTTTATAAATGATATAAGTAGGATATATATAGTCGAATGGAGCGTTGTTGTTTCGAGCTTTAAGTTAGCATTTTAGGGGTTCAATTAGTGGGAGAACGAGATCTTTGCTAATGGGAAACGCTTTGACGTAAAGGTCGGTAGCCACGATCTCTAGTGGGATCCGGGTGCGGTTGACTGCGCCTTCAAGTATGTTTGACCTGCTTTGGGCGCTCGTTCCTTCGATTACTTCTGCTTTAGAATAAAAAGGGTGGCTTCGACCATAGCTCCTATGCGTCCTTATCCTAACTTCAGAACTTCATCCTCCATATGTCTTCATTTTAACGTGCCACATGGTGGGGCCGAATTTCACCAATACAGTTGTAGTTCAACAATTGAGTGCTCATACTTCAGGTGCATTTTCGTACCAAAAAAGTTTGATTTAGTGTACGCATCTCACGCTGTCAGAGATTCCCGTAGGTTCAAAAATGTACTAAAGTTCGAAAAGCAAATCGGAGAACACACTGGATCTTTTTGCAATGAAAGAAGAATAAGCAAGGAGTCATCGCTAACACAAGCAACAAGCAATGATGTCATAACTTCCTTCGTCAATGCTGGAGTTTTCTTCACGTTTTACTTGAAAATCTAGCTACTGTAAATTGTATTCATTCGTCGAAGAACTTTCTTGTTGTTCAATACAAGAAAGATCATCGGTCACACATTTTATATTATGAAGAAAGTCAATTCAGTTTTAAAGTCAAAAATCTAGTATATTTTTTCACCTGTTAAGAGTCATGAGCTCTATTATAATATGCTGCAATTTAACATGTAGGGTTTTTTGAACTCCAGTATAGTCTACTAGAGTTTCATTTGTCTAATTTTTGAAATTCAACACCGATTACTAGAGTTATTCTATGTTTTGGTTGGGGCTATTTTTGTCCCAATTTTTTCCCGTGTGAAAAAAGTGGCAAAATATTAATAGCTTTTTTAATATTGACTAAACTCTAATAATAATGGTTAAAAGTGGCTATTTTTTATTTTCTCCCGTAAATTTCGATGACTCTCTAAAGTCTAAATAGCAGTAATCAAATGACGACATTTGCAATTTGCGCCTAAAAAATCAATTAATTATGCCACATCCGAGCTGAACCTACAAATTGGTTAATCAAGTGATGGCCAGGCCTGTAAATATAAGATAAAGAGAGTAAAAAACACGGTAGTATTTGTTTTCACCTTTTTGTCACTTAAAACAGATCCGGAGCCGGAGGTGGTGGAACGGTCTGCACTCTGAACCCCCTTCCCAGTCTTTCTTCCATTTTCAGATCTCTCTGGGTTTCCCGACGAGATCTCAACAATTCCTCTTTTGCTGTCCTAATGTTTTAAAAAGAAGAACACTTTCATCGTAGATATTCAGATCGAGTGCCACAGGATCGCATTGATGCTTTCAAATTGATCCCGTTGATTAAAGATCTCTGTAGGTCAGGCGAAAACCAATAAAAAAAAAGAGAAAATGACTGGTGGAGCTGCGGGAGGTTTCATAACTCGAGCATTGGAATCAATGCTCAAGGAGTGTTCCAATAAAAAGTTTTCTGCTCTCCAAACAGCTATTCAATCCTATATTGGTATTGTATCTTCCTTTTCTTTTACTTGTTTTTATTCATGTTTGATTTTGTCAACCTATTGCATTTGAATTTGGAGGTAGCTTCACGCTTTTTCTGTTTTGCTGCACTTATGAGTGACAGGGGCGGCCCTACAAATGTTGCGGCCTAAAGCCAAACTTTACCCCGGGGCCTTAACTTTTTAATTTTTTTAAATTATTTATTTGAAGTCTATTTTTTTAAGCTTTTCTTAGATACAAAGTTATTAATAATTTTCTTATAATTAATAACTTCTAATAAGTATTTCTCAATTGACAATATAGCTAATTCATTTGACCTTTCTTGTGACATTGTTGTTCTTAGGTAAGATTTTATCAATTTTAATTTTGAAAACTTCTTTCCGCTGAAGCGACCATAACATGAGTTATGGACACTATTCCATAAGCAATTTAGGCATTTAGAAAAGAATTAAATCTTTTTATTTGATTAAGTGTATCAATTAAATTGTTATCTTCTAATTGTATTATTTTCTTAATACTTTTAATTCAGAAAATAAATCTAGACCATCAATATCGAATTGATTATTATGCTTTAAGGAACATTCAAGATTAAGGCAATATATTTTTCAAATTTTCAACATCTAGTGATCTTAGTTTTTACTGTCAAATACAAAACTAAAAATATTTTCATATGTTTCGAATTGTTCAAATCTATTTTGAAATGAAAAAATAACCTTGCATATTATGTATAAAAGTAATCAACTCTAAAAGACTCTTCGAAAGATTTTGAGATTTCATTATCAACATTCGCATCAAATTGTTACTTGCTATATATCATACGTTTCTTACGAAATTTGCGTTCGATATCCATTTCAAATACAATTTCCTTGGTAGAAATCATAGCAGTTGCAAATCCTTCTTCTCTATATTTGATTAAGAAAGAAATCAAAGTTTTTCACTTTACATAATTAACTCTTTTTTAAATTTATACATAGTCTATTAGGTGTAACAAAAAAATGGGGCCCCTCACAAATATGAGGCCTAAAACAGTTGCTTTACTTGCTTTATGGAAAGGCCGCCCCTGATGAGTGATTAGATGGAAAATGGAATTTAACCTTATGTGGCTTAATTGTAATTACATTTCGATGATGTTTAATTTGACTAAGTGGATTAATATTGTCATTATTGTACTCTTGACCTGAGGTAAGTTAACTTAGTTGCAATTTGACATTATAAGTACTAATGCCCCATTTTGACAATATTTGATTGAAGTTGATAAAACGAACATTAGAAGCTAAGTTAAAAAAGAGTATTTTGAAGTTGAAATTGTGTTCAAGCATGAATTTTCACTTGAAGATAAGTGAAGTTTTGTGAGTGAAAACCATTACTCATCAAACTAGTTTTTTCAACTTCGAATTCTCTATTTTAAGTTGAAGATTAAATATTTAGCAAAATTGAAATATTATTTGCAAAATCCAAATGCTTAGTTTGTGTGGTGATTCTTGTATTATTGTTAAACTTATGTTTCACTTTAAACAAGTATGCACTTAACCTTTTCCATATTCGCTTGAACCCAATAGGCCTTGTCGCTTTTTGCTCTTTTTGCTTTTAAACCATTGTGAATGAATAACAATGAACGACTACATGGAAGGGACACTCCATAGCACCTGTTGGACGTAGTTCAGGGTTGGATATGATTAGGTGCTTGCATCGGTAATAAGTGAAGAGTGGTGTGGAATCGATGTAGTAGAGGTTACTTTAAAGAGTACAAGGAGTTATTTTATCTTTCTTAGGGATTATGTTTTAAAAGCATATGTTTCCCAAAAAAAAAAAGGAGAAAGGAAATATGGAGGTAGATGCATAAATAAAATGGTTTCTAGAACCTAATGTTGGATGGTTGAGGAAGCCATGTGAATCTATGTTTCCCCTTAGCCACCTTAGTTCTGAGGTGTACGGAAAAGATTTCTGATGGATCATGCCATGAGAGTTCGTAAATTGAGGAAGTTGAATAGAAATATTCTTATACATTATGATCACGCCAAACTCTAGTGCTAAAAAGGATAAGCGGTCTCTGCAAATCATAATCCGGTCTAAGAATCCAGAGTCGAATCCCACAGAGAACTAAGGCTTAGCTACAATTGTTCAGTATCACTAAGAAGACAAGCTTGAACAATTCCTAAGTTAAAAAAACTAAGAGTTTTATTTTTAACTAATTAACTAACAAATATTAAAAGCAGTAAAATTATCTACTAAAGATACTAAGGGTTGTGGATACGATTGGAAAAGACATAGAGTTATGATTTTCCCACCTTTCGAAATCCTTTCCGCTACGTTTCCTAGAATTCCGCTTAATTATTCTCTACTGGCCTCAAGCACTTGGCTTATCGTAATTCTCTCTCGAGCAACTACAATAATTTACTAGTCATATTCTCTCGAATTACGCTAACTCGCACTTTCTCACCGTTCACTATGACCACGTCAAAGTTTCGTTATCTCTAATCCCACTTTTAAACACTCCGTATTGATCTCTCATATACCTTAGGAGTGACGTTGTTCGACAACCACCTAAATACATATTCTTTTTTGAGTAACATATAATGAATATGTACAATTGATGGCCATTTAATCAATTGAAATAAGCACGTAGTTGAACAAGTAGAGAAATAAAAAGGCTCAATTATATTAAACGTATCAAAAATTCATCCTCCAAGAAGTTCAGTCACAACCCTAGATTAGAAGTTTAGGTATTTATGCTAGTATGTAAAAATACAAGGCTAGAATTCATAAAATTGGGAAATAGGAAAAAAGAAGAAAGGAAACGCGAATTGAACCCTTTTCCTTGCTCCAAGCATATGTTCTTGCCTATCCAAAGTCTTTTGTCACTCCAAAATAGTGTCTCTCCCCTTCAAAAAGATGTTTTAGGATGTATTATATTAATTAAGGTTTGTATGTGGCGAAACTAATCAATCCAATCTCGGATAAGAATGCTAAAATCTGCATCTACACTCGCGCATTGCGCGCTCGCAGATAAGATCCCAGCCATTGAGTTTTTTTTTTCATTCCGCGAAGCGATCTGCGCTTTCTCTTCACTTTACTGTTTTGTGCACTTAATTGTCTCCTTTTGCGAGTCTATTTTCGTGCTATGCACGAGGTTGGA